CTGCCCGAGCCGGCGAGGCGATAGGTAACCCCCGCGTCTGGGCCCTGGGAGCTCGGGGCTGCCCCGGGCCTGAGGAACCGGGCCCCTGGGCTCGCCTCCCGCCGCTGGAGGCCTGCGGTGGGGGCGTTAGATCTGTGTCATAGAACTAGAGATTTGTTTGCATAGATAAGCGCTTTGGGCACCTCGTTCCCTTTTTACAATATCTTGAAAAGTCGCAGGTTGCTGCAATCTTTTTTTCTGGGCAGTTGGATATTTTGGTGGGTTTGTAAAATATCTGTAAGCTCTTGGCCTGAGTCTCAGGGTCTCTGCAGGTCAGAAAGGTACAGCCCTGCCTGTCATCCTTTTAAACGGTCTTGGAGACTAACGGGCCATTCCCCCTGGTGTGTACAGCTGTGTCCGGAGTCAGTCTGGTGTGCATGCCTTGCACAGTTCTTGTTCCTGTGGCTTTAATTTAAATCCCTTTTAATTATATGCGAACTTCACATCTTCTTTCCCTTGGCATCTCCTCTGCTTCACAGGGGAATAAATAATCCTTATTTCTCCCTGTAAAATAGAAGGGGGAAGGGCAGGGGAGTGCCTGTCTCATTCTGGGATATGACCTTCGCAATGGAAACTTCACAGGTCTACGCAGGAGCTGACAGTGGGTGTAACGAGGAAGACTAGGCTGAGCTAAAAGTGCTGGTGGGGTAAGGGAAGGACAGCTGAGCTTCACAGGGGTGCAGAGTTGCGGTGTAGGTGAAAAAATATGGGCCACACTAAACTTTTCTTACAAGCATTGCTTGAAAAAGGTGCTGAAAGTCCCAGGAAAGCATTCAAATGTAGTCAGTAGTAGAAGATTCAGACTGAAAAGGGTATTAGCCTCTTTATGGTCCCTCCTGTTCCAGGTTTTCTGTTACCTCTCTCACTCTTTCCCAATAAGCCTTTTTGTTCACATACCTTGAAATTCTGAAGCACTCGCTTCAAACTACTACTTTGCAGCTTGAGATGCTGCTTGAAACAGCTCTTGTTTTTTGGGCCTGTTGCTGCAGTATTCCCTGGCAGCTCTAAGGTACAACTGAAGACGACCTCTGTTAGGGCCTGAGTTGGAAGAATCTCATTAAAGTCTGTGGGCAAAGTACATTCTTCACTCATGCAGACACTGCATCTGCATAATACTGCTGCTGTGTTGTAATAAGTGTCTACCAAATGTTCATATAGCAGCTTCCCTGTATAACTGCCAAGAGCTCAAAAGCATAATAATAAAGAACTCTTATTACACAGCACTGCCTGCCCCCCCCCATATGCACACACTCTCTCAAAGAGTCTGTTGTTGTTGTTGTCCTCTTAAAATTACACAAAAATTAGCCAGGGGCAGACATTTAACGTGGGAAATACAGTATTTGCAAAAGAGGAGAGCTGAAAACAAGGCCTTGTGAAATGATGTTAGGCATTTTCATACTTTCATTATGGATCAGTGTTGTGTTTGATTGCGTGGCTTAAGTGAGTATATGGTAAATGATAATCAGTGTTTTCTATTAATCAGATTTCAGTTCTAATGCCAAAGGTATCTAATTTGATTCAAGATACTTATTTAAAAACAAATGTGCTCTTGAGAATGTGGTACTTTAAGAAGTCTGTTATTTTAATTATTCTGAGGAAGATAATAGCTGTGAGTGTGCTGGCATATCAGAAAGTGGTCCCATGAAATTCAAGATCTCTGTGGCTCAAAATACCAAATCAGTGTGCCAGGGAGAGTGTGACTGGTGTCTGGGATGCATACTGGGAAGCTTTGGGTTCTAGTCCGTGCTCCAGTGCAGTCTGAGAGCTTTAGACACAGTACTGCAGAAGAGGAGAAATATTTCTGCTAACAGTTCTTCGTGTTCAGCTCATGATTTCCTCTCTTTAAATGTAATTTTCTGTTATTTCTTCCTTGTACACAGTAAGTTTTTAATTTATTAATATGATTTTTTTTGAGGAGTTAACAGCTTGAACTTTATAATTACTGATACAAGAAAATATATAGTAAATATTATTTTTCTTAATTCATTGCTTCTAGTAGTACTTTTTTTCAGGTTGCTCTAAGAAGTTAGTATTATTCTAGTATGAAATGCAAAGTGTGCATAGCAAAAGAATGTTTTGAGGAAGTATCCCTGCCCAAAATGGCAAGTCTGGACAAAGTTTTTTGGTTTCCTGAATTTGAATACATAATACTTTTATCCTTATCTTTAATAAACTTTCAGAGTGTAATTTTCTAGCAAAATGTGTTGTTATGCACTCTTAAGTTATATCCCTGAGCATATGTACCTGTGTAAAAACTGTCTCTGTTAAATGTTTGGTCTGTGTTAAGGCTGTAGCATCAAAGCCGTAGGGTGCAGCAGAATGTGTCGGCCAACGCTGGGCTTGGGAGAGGTTGGCCTGTGCTGCTGTTGTCCATGCGCTCTCAGGGTCTTCTGTCACCTCCATTGTGCTACCACATCTCTGTGGCAGCACAGTATAAAGAGGGTTGGGGGCTGATTCTGTGCGGGGATAGCAACCCTTTTCCAGTTTAGCTTCAGCGTGAGTCACCTCCCCTGGACATGTCACAGCTTGACCAGCAAACAGTCATGATAGCGTGCAAACACGTGGGTAACAACAGTGGGGAAGAGTAGGACAAAGCGCCTTAGTACCGACATAGTCCCTAAATGCTTTGTATCACAGACTATATTCTAAAGATTACTGGGATGTAAAGTGTTTTGCAGCGGAGTATTGCTGTTGCCTGTGAACATGCAATTCTTTTATATTGATAAAAAACAGATATTGTTAAAAGATTTATTTCAGGAGCATAATATGCTTGTTTGGATGCTTTTTCTGTAGCTGGAATTCAGTGAACAGAATTACTTGCTGTAGTAAAGTAGATAGGTAGGTATTTCCAGAGCCCATACATCTATATAAAATAGTAAAGTGAAGCCTAGTTCCACTGTTTTGTTGTTAAGAAAAAAATCTATATAAGATAGAAGAAATCTTATAAAGAAATCCCTTGGCATGTTTTCAATGTTTTGTTGACTTAGAGCCCAATATATGGGCTTACTTATGAGATAGTACTGGTATAGAATATTATAAAAGATATTTTTGGCCTGGGGCTAGGATTGCTGCATTATTCGTGAGTAAAGAAGTTATGAATGAGTTATGCAAGGTATCCTATTAAGTATACTAGAACCTTCTATAATATCATCAAGTGTTGTGTGTAAGCCATATTTCTTCAATGTTTCCTGTGAAAGCTTTTCAGGGTGGAAAGCTTTACCTGTTCGAGTGAATGAATTCTTAATGCTGAGGTTGCTTGATATCAGGAATCCAATTAGAAAGGAAAGAAGGAAAAATTCTTGATTATCCTTTGCTCTTGCTAAAGGCCAGTTGATAAATGGAGCCTCTCTGTGACCAAGGACAGGATGTTAATGTTAAATCTCTGATAGCCCTTGGTTTCCAGATGTGAGAAGGAAGGTGACACTTTGATGTTCACGGTATTAGTGTTTAGTTCATAAAAGGTAATGCTTGAATCTATTCCACAGTGCAACAGGGGAAAAAAAAGCCCCACGAACAAGCAAGAATTTCATAAGTAGAATGTAAGGAGGAGGGTCAGAGGTACACTGTGCCATTTTTCCATTCCAGAGATTACCAGGCAGATAGAAAAATAATGTAATTGTTGTCACAATATACCATGAAAGAAGTGTCATTTTTTAAGGCGGTAGCACTGCTTAATTTTCAGTCATATATATTGCAGTTAATGTTCTTTTACATTTCTCGGTTTTAATTCAGGAAGGCTGAAGACTCTGAAATAATAGGGGAGAAAAAGGAGTCACCTTTGAAAGATAATCTTTCACCATGGGAAGAATGGTTCATTGGCAAAGAGAAGGAACTACGTGCCCGCTTACAAGCTAGAGCTGCAGAGGTGAATACATCTGATTAGCATGGTGTTAAGTCTAGTAGAAGATAGCAGGCACTAAAATCAGGATTTTTTTTTTTCTTTTGGTTTCGGAAACACAAGTAGTTTCATCCATTGTATTTTAGTGTTTTGGGCTGCCATCATGTTTGTGTTTGACAATGCTGACATGATTCATGCTACGTGCATTCTCTTTTGCTAAAGGTTATGCTTCATTGAAGTGGTGCTGTATAATATTTTGCTTATCCAGCTGTCAGGTAATGGTTTGAGTTTAAAGGATTAAAACGATTTTGTATAATTGGTACCTTGATTTTCATCATGGGTACATAATGCCTGCATGTAGGTAGTAAAACACGACAGGGCGTGTGCTGGGTTTAAGTATGCCAAGCTACTCAGTTAGATATGAAGCACAGTGTTGTTACCCACTTAGTGTGTAATTATACGACTGTTTGGTGTCCTTTCCCAGGATACTTTTCCTTGTCCCAGCATTTTTTTTTCCTCCTTATGTCTTTGGCCCCCTTGCAAATGAAAAGTTCTTGAATACTGGGTCTCAGACAGAATTGAGTGAGAATGCTATATCTTTTCTTGATTAATATGATTGTTGTTGCAGTTGGTTAAATGATACTGTTGTTCAAAATCAAATTGGAAGTATTGGGTGGTGGTTAGAACAATCATATAAAAGTTAGATCATTTCTCACTTTAGTTACTGAATTACTATTTAACTTTGAGCAATGTCCTAACCTTTCTGGGATTCACTTTGTAAAGTGGATATAACATACATCTGTTTTACGTGGGCTACCTCGTGCTGTTTATGAAACATCCACCACTGAATGGTTCTAGAACCGTCTCTTAGAGGTCAGCATAACACCAAAGTAGTTTGTTAAACTTGAAGAATATGTTGTGATCTGTTAATATTCGCTGCACGTTTCATGACTTCCCCTTCAGATTCCAGTTTGGTAGTTGTCTCTCCCAATTTTGATTTTAAAGTACAAAAAATGAACCAAAGTAATTTCTGGTGTCATGTAGAAAATGTGATTTGTGTATGGACTTCTCATGTGGTCTTCTTGAGGAACCAAAGCAATTTGTTCTTGTGTATCACACAATAGCATTTGTACAGTACTGAATGTAATTTAGAAGATGTCTCTCTTAAATATATATTAAGACCAGTCATAGGACAAGCATTACTTAAAGCCGTATAGAAATGGGTGGAACAGGCAAATGTTTATTTTTAATTTGTAAGATTCTGAAAACCTTAGAAGTTAAACTGCAGCTTAGGCAACTTAAATAGCTTATATCAGGGGAAAAAATACCAGATGGAAAGATGCCAGAAGAGAACTAAATATGCGATTGTGATATAAAAATGTGTTACTGCATTTACATATAAAAAGTATTCTAAACTGATATCCTAAGAAAAAAAACTATGAAGTACCTGATCTTTTGCTGAGAGCAGCAGAGAGTCTGCTCTGAATGTTGGAAATGTGGATAAACGTTTGGTGTGGATAGTAGGGTCTTCTGAGATACCAGTGCCATCACCTTTTACAGAAGCCAGGATCCCTACAATACCAGTTTCTCAGAACGCAAAGGAAGTGTTCGTTGCTGTAACTTTGCCTCAATACAGCAACAACTATATTTTCAAACTATGTCTGTATAGTGTTTTCTTTGGGCTCTCTACAGACTCCTGTTTTTTCTTGATGTCTTACTAAATTCAAACTCAGTATCATAAGAAGAGGGGATTCTCTCTGAAACTGACTGCAGTGTAGGGACCAGAAAATCAGTCTCATGGAAATAATTCCATCCATCTATGTTTGAAGGTATGAATTTTCATTGAAAAACAGCACTTCGTGCTAATGCTACAGTTAGAGAAGCTAGACCTCTAAAATTGTTGTCTTAGTAATGTTTTTTCTTTATCAGTTCGTTTCATTGGAGAGATATAAGTGATTGCATATATACCATATGTCCTACAAAGATACTTCAGAATTTATCCTCTCAACTTCAAAATAAAGCTCCTGTTTCAAAGTTTGCTAAAATTTGCAATAATTTTGTCTTTAATATGCTTTGGGTTAAGCCCTAAGGATCCTGTAGTACTGGTACTAAAAATGACAAGTGAGTAATATTTCACCTAGCTTTTGATGCATTCCTGAATGCAGAGCAGTACTCCATGAAAAATTTAAGTATTGTAGAAAAGTACTGCTGCAGATTAAGATCCCACTGACTCAAAGGGCATTTAAATAAGGAGTGATTTCTTACATTGCATTGTTTTCAAAGCCTAATTAGAATAAGTATTTCCAGTTCATATTCTAAAAAATATACATTTCCATTGATTGTATTTTGTAACATTTCTGTGATGACTGTCATCCGCCTTTTCCAAAATCTTTATGAAGGAAAAATGTCAAAATCTAATGCGTACGTTGTTTTAACTGCAGCACTATTTCCAGTATTGAGTGTAGTGGTGTAGATGGTCACCACAGATTTAAGATGTATACCTTTTCTTTTGTTAGGAAATGAATATTCAGCTTGAGAAGATGAAGCAAAAGCAAGAATGTGAAAGGAGGAAGAGGATAGCTGAAGAGAAGCACAAGGAATGGGTACAAAAAAAAAGAGAAGAGGTAAATGTTGCTTTGGCTGCAAATATTCTAGCACATACCATGCTTAAGTAAACCAATGTAAAATTTACCTAGACTGTTTGGACAACCGTGTTTTTAGTTTGCTGAATGAATGGCTGTTTTACTTGTTGAAAATTATAAAACCACGCCAACACAGTTGAACATTTTTCCAAGACTGATTTCTTTTTTTTTCCATAAGGTATAAGGGATTTGTCTTCTGAATAGTCAGATAACTGGCAATTGACCTACATCTTGTGCAGCAGCCTTCCGCTAATTATAGCCAGGGTTCTGGTCTTCAGTATACCCTACTCTCTCTGACTTCCTGAAGTGTATGTCTTCCTTGTCTGCCATGTCTTGTACACCAAGTAGAGCCAGAGGAAGGATTTAGTTAAGTACCGTTGTGGATAGGCGAATAGTATGGTAGAGTTTAGAGAGATAATTGAGGTGCGAGGCCGGATTCAGGAAATTCTCAGTAGACCACAGTTAGCAACTGGGAATTCCTTCATCTGAAAAGTAATTTCTAAGTGGGATCAAAAAATGTTTTAAGGTCTCTTGAGAGCGATGCCTAAGTCCAGGGTCGGAAACGGACGGAATCCTGACCTCAGTGGGGTACTATACAGCTCTGTGTCACACAAAGCAAGCACGTGTAGTGGGTGACAGAAATGGGAACGTTTGGAATGCTTGAGCTTGTTCAGCTCCTGGTAGTTGGTGGGCGTATGCATTCATTGTCTTATGGTCTGTAGCAATACCAGTTGCTTACCTTTCTGTACTTCTGGTTCTGAATAAAATCAGATGAAAATTGATTAAAAATACCCCAATGGCACTAGCTGGGCTCTATATGCAAACCTCATGCATTTGTCTTTGCCATTTGAGAACTCTTCAGATTCAGTCTAGAACCACTAGAATAACCTGTGTTTGGATCTAACCTAATTACTCTGTCTCAGTACTGACTGTATGATTGGCATAAAACTGCCTCAAAATAATCCTGCTCTAAGCGTTTATTATGATGTAGAAAGGGTCCTCCCTTATTAAAGTACACAGCAAAAAGTAGAAGATTTATTATTCAGCACAAACAATGCCGTTTTCCTCTTCTAAAAATGCAAATTAAATTATAGGTGTCTGTAACTATTCATTGGCTTGAAGGAGTTTAGGCTGCCTGTTAAGATTGTTTACAGTTCAAACCAGTGAAAGTTCTCATTCTCCCTGCTCCCTGATCCCACTCCCCCTCTTCAGCTTCTGTAAACTTCTACGTATTTGAGTCCTCCAAAGACCTTTGTCTTTGTGGATTTACTGATTAACTTCTCTATTGTCACTGGGAATAGGAGGTCTTTTTTTCTGGTAATCACATCAGACCAGAGGACAGGGAAAAACATTTGTGTCTGAACTTCATCATACTATATTTTGGAAGGATAACGTCATCCTTAGGCCATGTCCTAAGCTTTTACCAAAAGTAATCTGATTTTCATTTAAATCAGATGATTCATTGGCTAGTCTTTTCTGTAAACCACACAAAATCAAGAACAAACTGAACTTAAAAGCTTAACTGTCTTCAGGATATTAACATTTGTGCTGCATAGACCTTACAACTTCAAGTTTCCACAAGATTATCTGTGGATCTGTACACAGAAGGATAAATATGTCAATTCAGTGACTAAGAACGTGTTTGAAATTGCATGAAGACTTCACGTGGAGTTTAAGGTTAGACTTATGAGCACTGACAGTTGCTATGATTTTCTTTGGGGAGTGTGTATACATCTTGTATTTGGGAAAGCTCTCTTCATTTCCTCCTAGAAGCATCAAAAGGTGCTCCTCAAGGCAAAACTTACAGTATTCTTCACTGAAGTTTGCATTAACCACTCACCTTTTTTGTATCCAGTTACTGATTCTGAGCCCCTTTGTGTAGGCTGCAGAAAATGCTTTACTTGTCAGGAGGCAGTACTTTTGGGGATGTTACCTTTATGATCTCCACCAGTCGGTATCCTTTCCCATTGCTGAATACTGTACTGTAAGGCGTACATAAAACTTTTCCTTCATCCTGAGCATCCAGCACCAGGAGCCACTGCTGGAAGAATCTTCGTACCGTGAATGTGAGACATTTATGTCAGAAGTAGAATGTTTGATGTACATAAAATAATTCTGATGCTTTTCTGTATGCCAAGCCAGTTTTCTTGCATTTTTTTGCGTTGCAATGTCAGTTGTGGTGCTCTGACTGTTATATATAGTCCTTCAGGGTGAGGTTAGGAAGCAAAGCTTAAGCACTATTTTTGTTCACTGACAGTTTTGGTTTTTATTCTTTAATATATATTTAAAACTATGATGTGAAGTTTTTTTATGCTTCCAATCATTTTGCATAAACTATTTTTAAAAATAAAGGAATCATAGCCATTTAATATTCTTCTATGTAAATAGCTTTTATGATTTTAAATTTTGTAAATGAACTAGAGGTAATATATTGAAACATGAGCTATCAAAGAACTTTCTAAGCTGTGAAATATGTTCATGCAAATATGGCAAAATTTTGCATCTCACTAGGAATTAAAAGCCTAATAAAACCAACTGTCAGGCACTACCTTGGTTCTACCAGTGCCTGTATAATTTTCAGTAAGGTACTATATCTCTGCTGGACAAAAGTAGTCCTACTTTCTCTCTCTCCTAAGGTTGAGTAATTTGTGGGCAAACAGTTAAGTTGTCTGACTAGTTTTGGTCTAGATGTAATAGAGCTCTATCTTTTAACAAGTCACAGGAATATCAATGAACATATTTTAACTCTAAAATATCTTCAAACATGCTTTTGATTCTAGAAGAAAATTTGCTTGAATCCATTTGTAACCCAATTTTCTTGATTTCATTTGTAACTGAAACTTTTATTTCTGAGTTACTGTTAGATTTATTGATAAAATTGAGGTGGACATGATTATAAATGCTGAGCAAACAAAGTTGGTGTTCAGTGTCATGTTTTCGTTATTAAAGTAGCCTTAATTTGAGTGGTATGCAGAACTGGACAAAGATCAGCAAAGCCATTAGAATCTGTCTTAATCTTTCTGGAATGTAAAAATGTTTGCTTGATTGCTAATTGCTGTATTTAGACTCTAGTTTGGTTAGGATCTCTGTGTAGGCAACTCATAGCTGAACTATGAAGTTTAAAAAGAAAGGACTTGACATCCTCGATCCCCATTTCATCATAGAACTAAATCTTGAATAGGTATTAAAAACTGACTACTGTCTCCTTTCTTTGGGTTAGAATTGGTGCTTGTGAAAGCTTATTTTATCTGTCTCTCTTCATTCTGGCACCTTCTGGTTTTTTCTTTTATTTTTTTGGGGGGCCAAGAAGAGACCCATTCCTAGTGGATTATTTTTTTTAATTTAAAATAAAATCAAGAGGTAAAGAGTGGCTAGAATTTATAATTAAAAAAAAAGAGACCTTCGATGAGTATCCTTTCATGTTTACATGTTGACCCCCTGTAGATACTGAACAGATCGGTTAACTTCAGTCATTGTTCCCTACCACTAAGTATAAAAAAACACAAACAACAACCAACAACACCCTCACCTCACCCCTCCAAACTGTATGGATTGGGGGATGTACGTGTGTGATGTATTTTGAAAATCTCCTCTCCATAGTGGCATCTTTGTGACTTATGTCTTGTCAAGTATGGTCTTGCTTAACAAAGAAAAGCTTTGTGACTGTTTGTCTTAGCAGGCTGTAGATGATACATAAGACTGTTTACACAGGTGGGTAAATTTAAGGAGGAAGATAAAAAGTACTGCTTAATATCCTCAAAATATTTAGGAGTCGCATTTCTGTCTCCTTCCAAGGATTTTTCTCTCTCATCTAAATTCTGATGGATTAATATGTGATGACAAAACTCTGTCTGGGTATAAAATATGCAAGAAAAAAAAGTGATAGGTGAGGTCATAGATGTTGGTCACTCATCCATACTTTCTTTTGTAGTGTTTCCTTTGAAGACCACCACTATTCAGAATTTGTCCAATATGGTTGAATTCCAAGTTCCTTCACAGTGTGACCAGGCACTGGTTCTACTGCCTGATAACTGATTGCGTTCAAGTTTCTCTTCTGTTTTGGAAAATATGCGAGCTGCTGTCTGAAGCCAGTTTGGGTTTTTTTTGCTTCATTTGCCCTTGAGTTAATCAATTCAAGATGTATGTAGTCTTCTTCCAGGAAGAAAACTTTACCCTTATAACCTCAACTCCCAGGAATGAGGTGCACTATGGAAAACTCCTTGCTAGAGTTTTGTTTGTAAAACCTTTGTCTTTCTGGACTCCCTTTCTTCCTTTATTTAGTTTCCTCTTACTGGACACATTTCTCTAAAGAACTGAGGGTGGTTTTGACCATGGACCTTTATGTAGTCTCATGTGAAATGTTATTACCTTCATGTAAACAGGGATCCAGCCCCTGCCTTTATAGTTTGTAAACCTAATTTGGGTTTAAGACTTGCCCACCTGTCAAGAGTGCTGTGTTTACAAGACTGTATCTGAAGAACCCCAGGTGTACATGACTTACTTCCATATTTAATATGGTATCTTCCAATCATATTTAATCCACCTTTATTCACTCTGCAAAGCTACTTCATTCTTAGAATGCCAATAGAATATGAACTTAGAAATATCTAGACTATTCAATTCATGTATATGTGTACATATAAATATTTATATTATATATTGTTTTGGGTTAGCCTTGGTAGGCAGCTAAGCCCCACACAGCTGCTCACTCACTCCCCCACAGTGGGATGGGGGAGAGAATTGGAAAAATAAAAGGGAGAAAACTTATGGGTTGAGACAAAGACAGTTTAATAGGTGAAGCACGAGGTGTGCACACAAGCAAAGCAAAACAAGGAGTTCATTTACTGCTTCCCGTCAGCAGGCAGGTGTTTGGCCATCTCCAGGAAAGCAGGGCTCCATCACGCGTAACGGGTACTTGGGAAGGCAAATGCCATAACTCCTAACGCCCCTCCCCTTCCTCCTTTCCCCTGACTTTAATTGCT